CATACCAAATTTGTCGCAAGAGCAAAATTACACATAACATGTTTAAAATAAAGTAATGTTTATTATTAGTAGGAAATGAGTAGTCCACTTGCAAACAGCGTTATGTGATTTTATAATAGAAAGCCATAAATTTGAAAAAGCGACTACGACAACAAGTAACATTTAAATTGAATCTTTTTTATTATTACCTGCAAATTTGGATAAATAGGAGCCTTAGAAAATTGTAACATAACATAACATGTCATAAGATAACATTAACAGTCTATACGACCTAAAGCAGCTTTCTAAGTTCATCAGAAGATTGATACTTTTGAAAGTTCATAAATAAGTATGATAGCGACTTTTGGAAGAAGATGTTTTTTTTTTCAGAATATAAAAAGATCTGTTGTTAGTGGACATGAAACTACTTTAAATACTGGTACGTAATCCGCCAAAAACTATGAATCGAAAAAATTTTACATAGCGCACTTTGCAAGTAGACTACTCAAATGTATTTGTAGTTTGAAAATTTTTGAAATTTTAAACATTCTATATATGTGTATTTATGTGTATATTTTAAAGATCTCAAATACTGAACATCTTATACGTATATTTATACAGATTCTTGTTGAAAAATAGATACTTTTCAGTAGTAGTTTTACATGCTCTTTTTAGAGTGTACTTGCTATTTATTATATTTACTTTGCAAAATACTTATGCACAAAAAATGTACTTAATAAATTAAAATTACAAATGTTTCATTTTATGCACATGTTTTCCAAGTCCTTAAGATGGGTTAAATTATTTCTTTTTCATGAAAATGTTTGGTTTTCTTACAAATTATGAGATGTATATGTAAAAAAGAAAATTGGATACATTTGGATACATTTTGGCTTGGTCAGGGATACATTTTCTTGAGACGGCGCGGCAACACTGACTACAATACATAAAGTTAATACAGATCATGATTTTGATTGGGAACAGGTCAAAATTTTGGATAGGGAGAAGCATTGGAACAAACTTAATATTTCTGAGATGATTCACATAAAGGGTACGGAAAATTTGAACCCTATTTATAATAAACTCCTTACACAACATAAGTTTAGGTATTAGGCGCACAGAAAAAGATTGCGCAAAAAACGGCACAGCTGTTTACTTTTCTCTTTGTGCTGTATAGTTGGTGTTTTTTTGCATTGCTGAACTATGATACATATTTGTATGTATGAATATGCATGCTTGCATTCTTAATTGTTGATATATCACGGTTGACGCTCTAGTTAGGGACAGAGATAGTATACACACTTATTGTTGTTGTTGTTTTGCTGCCCATGACTAGTCTAATGTGCCTTTGATTGGCGATTAGTTTAATCTTTCTGTTTTTTATGTTTGATGCTTCTCTCGCTTCATATATACCTACGGTGACCATCCGTCCTGTATTATACGGGACAGTCCTCTTTTTTGCCCATTGTCCTGGTAATTTATTTATTTTATACGGGACGCAAAATGTTCTGTATTTCTTTTCATGTCCTGTATATGTCCCGTATTCGGTGTTTCGGCGCCTCAACAGGTCATTAAAATGGCATGCCTATGAACGAGTTTCAAATAATGTTGCTATATGATAACACTGTCAACAAAAAAAAAAAAATTGCCAAAAATTAGTGGTAAGTCTTAACGACCTAAATTTAATGAATTTTTTAAACAAATTTTACGGGGTAAAAATCTCGAGAAAACTATCCTACAAATTTATGATATTACTAAAAGGATGCTGTTTCAGGGCTAATACATCTAGTATCATTGAATAAGGCTTTAAGATCTGTAAGCTGTTGTGGAAAAAATTTGAAAAATTATATTTTGTCCCGTATTCGGCTCTCATAAATATGGTCACCGTATATATACCTGCTCGTCTTGTTGTAATGAATAGAACTTATATAATTTTGACATTTGAGTCAATAATTCGCTCGCTGTTCGTTAGAATAATTTCAATTTTCTAAATTTATTATGCCGGAGGATTTGCAATTATTACGTGCTACTCCCATAAGAAGTATGCCTTTTGCTTTTTGTGTGTTTTATTTAAAAAGAATATTGTGTGTAAAAATTTGTATTAATTGTTTTTATAGACAGGGTAAACATACCGCCAAATTGACCAAGTTGCTGATACATATATGTGTGTATAATAAGATGGACAATCCATGGTGCCGCAGTTCAATTTGCGTTAAACACACATATATATATTAGCACAGATTTTTGTAAGTACTCTATGGCTGATAAATATTAGTGTTATGATTATGTGACTAATTTTTTACCTGTTTTTAGTATAATTCTGATGAGGGTGCAATATTAGCACCGAAAGCTAAATAAATGAATTGACATAATACTTTTCAATTGGCTCGTAGATATCGTCTTTGGTTTTCATCTTCAAGTATTGAAAATTTTCTTTTAAAGCTTTATCCTTGAATATCCTTGAAATTTTCCAATATTTATTTAAAAAAAAATAATATATGTCAAGGACTAATATGTTAACTACCACATCCTCGAATTTCGTCCTTCTAACTTTAATACTTAAGATAAAAATAAGTGTACACTTCTTTTTATAAGATATCGATAGTTACAATATACATAAATGACCATGCATGCGCTCTAAAAGAACAAACTGACCGTATGATGTACGGTTTAAATTCTTTAATTGTTTTTTGTATACAAGGGCGTAGCCAGCCTTTCACCTAGGGGGCGGCGTAGAGGGATAAAATTATTTTTAACTAACTTTTTTTTTTTGTTTATAAATAGAAACTTCTGCGTTTAAGAAAGTATAAGTTTTCTGGTATCCTTTACAATGATACCAATTTCTTAAAAAACGGGTAGTAATTTTTTCGTATTTTTTTTTGTAAAGGTATTTTTTCCTTTTAAGTGTTTTTTCTCAAAAGTTTATATACGAAGTATACAAATACGCATATCAGAAGGGAGTTTAATCACGTTTACAACGATATCAATTTTTTCAAAATCAGATCAAAATTTTTTAAATATAAGGTTTTTAATTAAAAATTAGAACAAAAGGCGCACTACATCTATATTTTTAGTTGTTTAGTTGTTTACTAGGGATGTTGCGAACGTGGAATTTTAGACATCCGCGGATGCGAATGCGAATGCGATGTCAAGTATTTTAAAGAAATAACTTGGGTGAGTAAATTAAATAGGTGATTTAGGTAAATAAAAAATGAACAGTTGATCATTTTTAATAATTTTTTTTTATAAAATGGAACATTGTATTTAATAAAAAGTAATTTTTCTGGCTTTTCGGGTTCCAACCTGTTTCTTAAAGGGTCGTAAGGCGACAAACTTGAATCAGTTGAAACTTGACAAAATTTTAAATTATTTTCGATTGACACTGCACCAGTTGAGAAGACTTTCAGTTATATTTATTTTTTTATTGTGGTACAATAATTCATTTTTGAGAATTGCATCGAGACTGCAAATGTCGGATGTATCCTCCTGACTTTCATCTTCACAATCTTTTCCAAAAATTTCTTCATTATCATTCTTTTGGTTGTTCAGAATTTGGAACGCCATTAACGGTTTTCGATTTTAGTTTTTGTAATTCGTTTTTAATCCTTTCTTCTGGGACTGTTTTGAAAAATTTCAGCTTAGGTTTCAAATAGGTCGATGTGGCAAATAAGTTGTTATGTTCTAGGAATGAAAATTTCTGTTCTTGTTATATTGTTAAAATGGCACCCGTTTTTTATAATAATTTGAATTATTGGATTCAAGGACAATGAAGGTCTCAGATCTGCTTAGTTCCCGGGTGACTTCTTGAAAAGATTCACCTGTAATGAATAGCTTGTAATTCGATATTTAATTAGATGAGTTCAACTTTTTCTAGTTGCAGGCAGTCACAATTGATTACTCACCGCTAGCGATTCATCCAGTTTTTTTAACAGACCTTTGGCAAATAATATTCGATAGTTACATAATTCTTACCTAATTACATGCTAACTTTTAACGCAGCATGCCTATTTGACTTTAAATTACAAAAGAAGGCGGACGTAGGGGGACAGTTTTAACGTAGCATCTCCAAGGCCAAAAAATACTGGCTACAATTTGTCATTTTGTTTGCCAAATATACATTTTATCAGTGCACTTGCACAATATTCGCATTCGCAAAAGCTCCGCATTGATTATTGCGAATGCGAAAGCGAATGCGAATGGAAAAAATAATGCGGAAGCTACGCGATTGTGAATGCGAATGCGAATAAGAAGTGTTTTTTTATCTAAAACTAATAAAGTTAGAAGGACGAAATCCGAGGAAGTGGTAGTTAACTTATTAGTCCTTGACATATATTTTTTTCAAAAATAAATATTGTGAATTTACAAGGATATTCAAGGATAATATTTTAAAAGGACATTTTAAACACTTATTCGTCCTGGAGAATCAAAATATTAAATTTTTTTTCAATTCTACAGAATTTTCCCTTTTAATTGATACCCATATTGTTATTCTACAATGCACCGAATCTTTTGATCAATTTTTTTATTCAATCATATTCTAGAAATTTCAAAGTCCTTTTAAAAAAAATCCTGACGTCAGAGAGAAAAACTAAGAAGGTAGTTTTACTATATTTGGCCCCCAGTTTTGTGAATATATTGATTTTTTCGTGTTTTAAAAATTTTTGGTTTTGGTCGCACGGTGTAATATACCATACGCCACAGCTTCATGTGCACAGAAAAATCACTATCACAGCACAGAAAAATCACTATCATAGCACAGCAAAGCACTATCACAGCAAATCGAAAGCAATAACTAATTTTCAATAAACTGCCAATAAAAAAGCAAAAATATAATTTTCAAAGTCCCAGTAAAGCAAAGCAGTTCGAATGAAAATCAAAAATTTCAAAGCGAAGAAAAAGCAAAGATAGTAGTGCTGTTGCTGTTGTGCTGACAGTTTTTCAAACCCTGGTTTGGAGTGATAGCATGATTATTGTACACATAATACGATAAATACATAGTGCGTAACTTTATAAATACTCACGATTTGTTCCAGATTTTTAGTTTTTGAGTGACACAAAGTCACTGTGGCATTTTCCCACTTCAACAGCTGTGAGACTGGTGTACCCACAATTTTACTTCTACCTATAACAACAGCTTGTGCCCCACAAATTTGGACGCCCGTACGCTTGATTAGCTCAACGCAGCCCCCGGGTGTGCAAGGCAGATACCCATTCGTGTCACCGATGGAGACGCGGCCTTCATTAACGGTATGAAGACCATCGACATCTTTGTCCGGACAGACCGCGTCAGTGATCTTGTGGGAATCCATTTTACTTTCTGAATCAAGCGGCATTTGCACTATAATTCCATGAACTTTAGGATCATAGTTAAGTTCTGTTATCTATAGCAAGACAGGAAAAAGTAATCAAAACGTAGAATTTGCCAAATTAATATGAAATATGTACATTAGACTGCATCACTCCCCATACAAACAAAAGCTGTACTATTTTTCCATTGAAATTATAAAAGCTATTATATTTTAAGACGTCCACCAGAATATTTTGGAAAAATATTAAGATTTAAGTGAGCTGGACCGATTTGAAAATACCTCCAAAAATTGAGTTTTTATGAATAAAAATAGTTTCTTAAAGAGTTTTTTTGAAAAAATCCCCGCAAATGACAAAATGGATTAAGCTTACAAAATTTGCATAAAGATATTTAAAAAAATGTTTGAACGGAATCGTAATGATGGGATTTTTGATGCTGTTTTTTAACTTTTTTCAAAGATTGATATAAGAAAAACTTGAATAACTGAACCTAAACTCTTCCGATTTAGACTTAAGAGGTGTCATTTTTTTTATTTTTATGCTAATAAACTCATTCAAAGGATGAAAGAGAAAGGTAGGATGAACGAATATCTTTCAAAGTTGAATTAAGATGTGTTGGTGTTTGACCAAAAAAAGGGACACGAATGACTTCTTTTTGGACAGAAACATAATAAAAACAGTGTAAAAATACCTTTCTACTGAGATCCGTTAAGTCTAAATCAGAAAAGTGTTTGCCCAGTTATTCAAGTTTTTCGTAAATCAATCCTTGAAAAAAGTAAAAAAAAAAAAACAGCATCAAAAATCTCATTCTTACGATTCCGTTGAAAAGATTTTTAAATATTCTTATGCAGATGTTTTAAGCTTAATCTGTTTTGTCATCTGAGGGGACCTTGTTCAAAAAGTTCTTTAGGAAACTATTTTTATTCATAAAAAACTCCATTTCTGGATGTATTTTCAAATCGATCCAGCTCACTTAAATCTTAATATTTTTCCGAAATATTTTGTTGGACGTCTTAAAATATAATAGATTTTGTAATCCTGGCGAAAAAATCGCAACTTTTTTTGGTGATGCAGTCTAATGTACATATGTAATTTTTGCAATTTTACAACTTTTTTTCACATTTAAATTACAATTTGCAGATATTTAAATCAGATCTTATTTTATTGCATAACTCACCTTCTCAAGTAAGTCAATTTCGGTAACAGTGCGCGGAAGCTTGATAAGTTCTGCAGTAATGCCAATTTCTGCAGCTGCCTTGATTTTCATGCGAATGTAAACGTTGGAGTCCTCACGCCCACCCACTTGCAAAATCCGCAAGCCAGGCGTAAAAACAGGAAGTTTAGCTTTAACATCTTTAATTTGCCGCTTCAAAGATTCGCGTACTTCACTTCAATAAAAAAAAAAAATTAAGTAATGCGGAATATTGAATACATTTAGTATTTACTTTGCCAATTCAGTGCCTGATATCAGTTTAGCGTTTCCCGACATCATCAAGGAGCTAAAGTACAGATATGTATATTAATTGAGAAACTATTTTTCTGTTTTCAAAAATATATGTATTTATTTTCAAAGTTCAATCCCAACCGCACTAATCAAAAGCCAGCAGCTTAATGCATTAACATAGCTTGTGTTCAACGAATTTGTAGCCAGACCAAATCAACGCACAAACAAAATTCGGCTTGCACTGGATTATCAAATCTAAACGATCTTCAGCGCAAATAAAAAAAAATAATGTAATGTATGTATTATTTTGCTATTGCAAAGTGCTCTCTCAAATGTTTCGGCGAACTAAAAATTATGCACCTTTATCACAATCAATTGTTTTAATGTGTCCGTATGGCGAACTAATTCAAGATAGGGCTAGGGTTTGATCCCTGGTCCGTGGAACATCCAAAAAGGACTGTTTTTTGATAATCATGTGTACAGCTGCCGATAAAGCTTATAAAAACAGCTGTCTTCATTTCTGTGCCAACATCAAGAGGCTGCAAACACATGTATGATATTAGGGTGGCCCAAACTTTTTTGTGGCGGAATTCGTATAACGCGCTAGTGGTTTTAAAAGAATGAATTAAAAATCGACATATGGGAGTTTCCAGAAAAAAAATCTACCGCGTAAAAAAAATTTAAAGTCCAATATCTTACTTATTTATAAACGAATTTGCTGCTGTATACTATAATACACTGGTTATGTAAGCAAAAACATTTTTGCCACAAATGGTCTCGTTAGGTGGCGCCAGGGTCGAGATATTTTCAAAAATCGTATTTCTGCTCTGATTTGTTCCACATTTGGCACGTTTAATTGATACGTAATAAGACATAGATTTGCAAAAATGGTGGCGGTGATGTCAAAATAAAAAGTACGTTCGTCATAAAATGCATGTATTCTTCCCGTTAAAAATTCTCTCAAGAACAATGTTAACAAAACTTTTTCAATGGAAATTGTAGTAACGTAACGCCAGGTAACATCACGTCAGATAATTCAGCTGATTAAACATAAAGCAGAAAATATTTCTACATTTAAAAACTTGGAAAATTTACCTTAAACATTTCCAATATTACTACAAAAACTTTTTGTACAAATAGTCTTGCCCAATTCGCAGAGTTTTGCAGTTTTGTAAGCGAAATAAAAAACCAATTCTTTTTTTTGTAACGTCACGCCAGTGCGTATGTTTACTAATATCTTTAATCAATACTACCAACAGTTGTAAATTTTTTTATATATACATACATATATATATATTTTATATATATACATACATATAACTTCTTCTTCTCTTATTTATTGGCCCTGCAACCGCCTAACCGATTTTGGTCGAGTCCAACACAGCCCGCAAGCCAGCCGCTTCTCTTCTGACGCCAAAATGAAGCCAAGTCGTTCTCAACCTGGTCTTTCTAACTCAGAGGAGGCCTTTCTCTTTCTCTGTTACCAGCAACGCGAATACTTTCAGAGCTGGAGCGTTTCTGTATATTTGAACGACATGACCTAGCCGGCGTAGCCGCTGGATTTGAATTCGTTGTTAATGCACACAGGAGTGCAGCCGTAAGGACTACGATTGGAGTTTTTTACTACTATTTTGTCATTAATACTCCCGTACTCCCCAGTGATCGATTATACTATTTTGCAAGGAATGAAACCGATTCAAAATAACGTTCCGGTTTGGGTTTCGATTTTGCCAAGTGTTTCGGTTTCGGTTTTGGTTTCGTTCTTCAAAATTTATTTCGGTTTTGGTTTCGGTTTCGTTCCGGTTTCGGTTTTTCACAGAAATTTAGTTGATATTGTTTAAATCACAATGTCTTAAACCTTGAGGAAAGAAAATCGGAAATTACAGTTCACTGATAATATCAACACTAGGTTCTTTCCCTAACAATCCGGACCGGATTTGGTAATTAGAGAATAAGAGAAACATTTTCTTTCAAAAATGGAACAAAGTTCAGAAGTACGGAAACGCAAAAACCCACATTTCGTGCCCACAAGTCGAGAAACAGCTGATTCACGTTGTTCTTGTTTTTGTCACTTATACCATGTTCTGACCGACATCGGAAACATGTTTTCGTTGCTAAAACTGGTTTTCGACCTAAAACTTGTGTTTTCGTCCATATAAAATCTGTTAAACGAAAACCAGTTTTCGCTGAAAACTACTTGAAAACTCACTTTCCACTCATTCCAATCGGTGTCTTCACTAGTTTTTTTCGATTATTTATCGAAGTGGAAGTCATATTTTATCATCTTTAATACGCCATTTCGGATTTATTGTTAATTGCCTGGCCAAAGCAAAATAAGAATGAAAGTTAAAGGTTGTAAATGAAAAGAAAATGAAGGAAAAATGTTTTGGTTGTCGGTCAGAACATGGTATTAAATGCAAACACTTGGAAATTGAATTTTGGTTTCACAAATTTGATTTTAAGTACATAGATTGAAAATACATCAACAGGCCACTCACTTTTCCTTAAAAGCACCAAGTAAATGCAGGCAACATGTAAACACAATACAGCTGATATGCACTTTGACACTTTATCCATTTTTACTCGGAGAAAATTTCGGGCTGTTTCGGGCAGGAAGAAGAATACACTTACGATCGAATACGCTCGAATTTTCGCTCTCTATTACCCATTTTGTTGAGTACAGGCATGATTTCTGGGCTATTTTGGGCACACGCGGGATCTCGCATTGCGTACGGGAAAGAAACTACTTATATATAATTAATCGATTATCGATTCACAACAACAAAGTCATCAGCAGATTTTTGCGAAAAGTTACCTTTCCATACTTATTTACTACTTAACAAGAATTTTAGCAAAATGTTGCTGATTTTGGTTAAATAAATCATTTATTTCAAAGAAATTTTATTTATTATTTTTGTAAATTTCTGGAAACCGATTGAAACCTGTGATTGAAATGGTTTCGGTATCGTTCCTTTTCAGGTCAAGATAACGGTTACGGTTTCGGTTTTGAAAAACGAAACGGTTTTAAACGGTTACGGTTTCGGTTTGGGTTTCGGTTTCATTCCCTGCTATTTTGCGAGATAGTTAACTTTTTTTATCAAAATTTATAAAGTAACTCAAACGATGTCGCATTAAACACTGCCAAAGCACAGTGCTTGGAATGATTTCTGAACGCACTTTTGCTTTCACGTTTTGATAAAGTTTCTTAAGCCATGTTACAGTATTATTTAAAACTTACGACTGCAGTGATGGATTTATATTGGGTATAAAACTCTTCAACGCTTTGAGGAAAAGCTCGTTTATTGATCCGAACACAACACGAGTGCAGGAAAGAGCACTTCGAGTACATATACCGTACTTGCGGAGGTGGGGCCGAAGCACGAAAAGGGGCCTGCTGTTTCATTTCTTTCAAGGCAGGAAAGGCAAATAAGGGTGCCATGCATTCCAACCACATTCAGCGGTTTGTGCCATCATACTTGCTCAATGAAGCAGCCTCCCAGCCATTACTGAGTGGTATAACTGGTTGCGGGCTATGAAATACTTGACCTGAGCCCTTTCTAACCAAATCAGCACTGACTTAATCAGATGAACTTAAATGACGCTAAAAAAGATCGATTTGATCTTGTTGCTTACGTCTCTAGGCTGCCGAAAATGATAATTTAGAAATCCGATCTGCTATTTTTTATTTTTATCCGTAAAAACCATTTACTAAATACAAATACCCATAAGAGCACGGTGTGCTTGAATAAGGTTTAAACCAAAAGTCCACACCCATCAATTTTTCTACAAATTCCCATTCTGTCATCATAACCAAATGATTTGAGCTAAAAGCAAACATCTTCTCTGGAAGGATTCGAAAGTTATCTCGATTATGATTCGTTTTTCTTAGATAACTTTTTTAAGTTAAAACCATGATACAAAAAAGAAGGTAGTTTCAATAAACAACTTTTTGATTAAAAAGCAGATTTTTGACAATTGCTCAGTTGTGAAAAATTCGAAGCGGCGTTACCCAATTGTAAGTTTTTTGGTGTGGGAGATTTTATATCCTAAATTTGGGATTATAAATAAAATAGTTGTGTTAATATTTACCTTTTAAAAATAATTAATATCTTATCTTAAAAACGTTTAAATTTTACATTAAATTCGATAACAACTTGCCAAATCACTATTTTAATATTAATACAATTAGTGAACATATTTTAAAATTTTTTAGTGTCCTCATGTCATCTGATTATTTCACAATGTAGTTTTCTATATCTGATACGATGATTCTGATATAATTCAAATGAAATTTAATAATAATATTTAATACATATTGTCTTTGTCCATTTAACAGCAAATGGTATTTACTTTGAGAGCCATGGCCGCCAAATTTTTCCAGAAACACATATTGTTTTCAGATGAAATTTTGACACACCCAAAAGTGAAGTATAAAATAAATAGATAAAACCTAATTTTCAATCAAACTAATTTGTGTAGTTCAGGGGCGTCTTTTGGTAAATGTCCTGGAGGCTGTTTTAATATATCCTATCTTATTATATATTTCTTAGCTTTTCTACATTCTGAGAAGTTGAGAGCATGAAGTCTAATGTTCGTTTTTGGTCAACTACGACATTTGATTTAATTTTTTGCAGTCATTAGTTCATTTCCCTTGAGGAGTCACAATGCCATACCGGCTATACCGATTTTTTTTTGAAATTTCGGACACAAATCTTCCAAGAATGGTTGTAGGCTAAAACAAAACCGATATCAAAAGGGGGTGTGGACCCTCCCATACAAATCGAATTTTTCGTAGTGCATATCTCTGGAAGTATTTATGGTAGAGTTCTGGAACTTGGTATGGATATATTTATGTGTATGAAGTCAATCTCAAGCTCATGGAAAATGCAGCCCTATACTGCAACTCTTTCGTATTCGGATTTTGCTACGAATCGTAGAAATAGTATGCTGCAATCCGAATCGTAATTTCGAACTTTCGAAATTCGTAACAGTGGCATGCCTAAAACGAACGAGTAAGCTTTTTTGCGTAATTTTGTACGAAAACAATTCTGTGTC